GACTAAGTCAGAAGCTTGAGTTTAAATGTAAAAAGTTACACACTAAAGTCATGACTATGTTAGGCAAGTCACGTTCTCTCTCTAGAATCTAGAGTCTAGATTTCAGTTTCTCTTCATTCATAAATCAGGTGAAGTGAGAATTAATCTCTAAATGACCTCCAAACCTTTGCTACTCAAAGTGTAGTCCACCAACCAGCAGCGACAGCATCATTCAAAAGCTTATTAGAAATGCAAAATCTCAAGCCCCACCAGAAAAATCAGATCTGTATTTAAACAAGATCCTCAGATGATCTGTAAGAACATTATTAAAGTATGAGACACTTCTCTAAAGTGTCTTTTAGTTCTAAAATGCAATGGTTTCAGACTCACTTAAACTCTGTCACTTCACAGGGGGGGGAAAGAAGAAAAAAGTTTACCTATTCACTTCATTTATGCCATTTTCCTAATCCTAATTCTGGCTCTCAGATTTGTCCACATCCGGGTAGAGTTCTTAGGAAATACCAATGGGGCAGCGCTGCTACCTTGTGGTCATGATCAGTAAATGCACCTAATCTTTGCATTCTTACCAGTAAAGGAGAGGGGGGAAGGTTGGCAGAGTGGGTGAAGTCCAAGTCACAGATTCACAACCACTCACAATGCCAGGAAGTACCTGTCAGACAGAGCTCAGCCTGCATCCTGGAGTAATGTCACATTTCAAAGGGCAGTTTTTACAATATCTAATGAAATGTTATATTAGTGGGAAACCAGGGTTCCAAACCAAGCTGTGCTCTTGTAACCTTCAAAACAAAAAATCACTGTGACAGTTGTTTTCAGTCATCCAGCCCCTGCCTGAACTCTTCCAGTAAACTTGTAATTTTCCACAGAAAGTTACTTTACTATAACAGTTCTCATCCCGAGCCAAAATGTGTCTGATGAATACTCACTAACCCTAATCCTAGTCGTTGTAGGCACTGAAACAAGTCTAATACCTTTTTCACACAATAGACCTTCAAATATATGTGAACAACTACCATGAGTCCCTCCCATCTTCCCTCAGCCATTTCCCAAATGAAATTCTGAAGTCCCTACACTCTCCTGTTGCTTTCTGATGGGCAAGTGAAGTATGTCAACCACAGGAAACTGAATTCTAGGAGTGTTCTAACCAGAGCAGCAGAGCCACAGGACTACCCGTTTCCCCATTCTGGGTACTGCATGTATATTTAGAAAGCCAAATACCACATCAGCGGATTCAAGGATACTGGTTTTTCCTACTGTGCTACTGCTCAGTCATCCCATACCTGTGTAGATTTATACATTTTTTTGCAAGTTTTAAAAAATATATATCCTTATTGATTTCAGAGAGAGGAAGGGAGAGAGAGAGATAGAAACATCAGTGATCAGAGAGTCACTGATCGGCTACCTCCTGTACGCCCCCTACTGGGGATCAAGCCCACAACCCTGGGCATGTGCCCTGACTGGTAATCGAACCTCGATCTCCTGGATCATAGGTTGATGTTCAGCCACTGAGCCCCACCGGCTGAGCTACATTTTATTTTTTAAGAAATATATAGCTTGCACTGGAGAGATAAAGATAAATCAGATCTGGTCCCTGCCCTCACAGAGCTCTAGGTTATGGAGGGAACCCAATTCAAAGCCATACTATTTATAGCTCAATGAAAAATACCCTGATTAATAGAGGTAAATACAACTTTTTGGCCCATCTGATAAACTCCTGTAAAATGTCCACTTTTGATTTGCTGGGCCCAATTTTCCTCATTTCAAGATCAAAGGGGGAAAAAAAAGAATGCAAATGTCCCGGATGGTGCCTTTTGCAGTCATGGTTGGATTGGACGTTTCTCTCTGGCTCATCCAAGGTGTTTGTGGGCTGCCACCTCATTCTGAATGTCCTCTCTCTCCAACTAGAGTTCACCACATTTGCACATGCAGCAGCCAGGCAGCTGCACATTAAGAGAAATTCTAGCAAGTCAGGAAATGAGTTTTAATCCTGTTGCTTTGAGGCCAACTGATGCTAGCCCATGATATTGAACAAATCCTACCTCGTTCCCTGCATTTTAATTTCCATTTCTGTAAAATGGAGCCATTGGATTAGCTCTCCATGGGTCTATGTGCATAGTGAGAGCTCCTCAGAGACAGTAATGCACCTTCTTCCTTTGGTAGCCACCACCTGGAAAACACCATTGAGTTCAAATGTTCACTGAATGTATGTATGAATAAATGACTTATTAAAGCAACATGAATCATGGACTCAATCAACAAATATTTCTGAATGTCTACTAAGTACACTGTAGAGGGGGTAAGCCAAATAACAGTGACAGAATGCTATTTTCTCCCCACTTTCCCTTTCTCTCCTTCCTGGAGGGAGGCCTTTGAAAAATAAGACTGTGTTGACACAATGTTCTCGAGATGGGCTCTAAGTAGTTTCAATATTAACAAGAGAAAGCTGTCTCAGCGGAGTTTTACATTGTGAAACAAAAAACAACAACTTTAAATTCCATGGCTGAAAGTCTTTTTTAAAGAAAGGGTTTGCCATTGCTAGTGAAGGAGGAGGAAGAGGAGGAGGGGGAAGAGACTGGTCTTGAGGCATGGAATCTAAACCACCAGCAGGTAGTTTAAAAAAGACATGTCCATCCCTGAGTTTTGCAAGCATTTTTATACACCAAGTAGGGAGGAGAAAGATATAAGCCAAGAAAAATGGAAGGATTTACACTGGCTATAGACAAAGGGGATGGGTTAGTTCTGGGATAGGCTCAGTAGAATCCGCAAGGAAGAAATGTCCGCTCTTGTGGATTGGCTGTGGGCAGCAGATTGAAAAGTTCATGTGCAAATAAGCAGAGGCCCTAGGGCTCTATGGTGCCTGGCTATTCTCTCTTTTGGATAATCTTGGAAATAGTCACCTGCAAATTAATCCCAAATTCCAACAGATATACAGGAATGTGAGCAGTCTTTTGTCAGAGCTGGTCTATAGGCTAACTGTTCAGTCTCTTTCTCTTACTCTCTGGCTGCTGTAATTTTAATTTAGAAAATCTCAAAAATTTTTTCTTGTCAATATCAATGGACTTGAGGGATCTCAAGCCCCCTCCTGTGGTACATAGGACCCTACATATCACCCCAAGTCCATGGAGGGGAAAATCAGCCAGAGTGAACTGACTGGGAGCCAGGACATGGGGAAAGCAGAGGAGTAAACAGACTGAGAGGATAGGGAGAAAGGTCTGAGGAGGAGCTCCCTGATCCTACAGCAGCCTGGGAGTAGACTGATGGACAACTCAATGGAAAAGTAGAGAACCCCCACCAGTTTCTATGTGCATGCACTCATCAGTAAAATTTTATTTCTGGTAATGGATTGCACTTTCACATGCTTTCTAACATGTCAGGCTTAGTAAAAGTGTTACCAAAATATCACTCAATTCAACAACCATTTATAGAGTACTCCCAGAGTACCAGGCCTTACATAAATTCAGCAACACAAAAATGAAAAATAAACAGCTCCTGCCCTCAAAGACCCCCATCCAAGTAGATTCATGCCCCTTCTCAGCACTGCCCTCCTCTCTGCCCTCCACCAACCCAAACCCTACCCCACTCTGTGAGAATCAGCCTAAGTTCCACCTGACCCAGAGTCCCTTGAGCTACTCTCAGGCCACAGTGAACTCCTGTCACTTCTGAAGTTTGGTTCCACTTATATCTCAGGTTCTATGAAGTGTATGTCACTTCCCTGGTTAGACTTGAGCCGCTAGACCATTGTTAGCATTTTCCAGAGAGAAACTACATCAGCGGTTTATATCAGACCAAGCTCAGGCCAAGCCCTAGCCTTCAACTGGAGGACAATCTCCACTGCCTAGCACAGTGCCTGGACCCCTGCAGGCAATTTATAAACTTTGCAGTAGCAAAGACTACAGTCAACTCTACAACTCGTCAATAGGCAGGGATAATCTGAAAACTGAGAGGTTAAGGATGATCAAACAAAAATCAAAAAGGATTTAATTTATTCCTGGCCTCTTCCTTCCTCTTAGGTGAAACAAAGATAGACCACTTTTTCTCACTCCTGCCTGGAGGCTTCCCTGTTAACTTCCCCCTGGCCCCCATAAATATCACCCAGCATTCAAGCCTGGCCTCTCCTCTTCTTTGAGCACATTTCCTAAAGTCTCTGGAATGACTCAAGGTAAGTGCTAGTGTGCTGTAACCGTTAGTGTTTACTCTAAATAGTAGTACCTTCTTCTTTTGCTGTAGGCTATTTCCAAACAAGGTCTGGAGCGAAGAGCCCCAGTGGCCTGGGCAACCACCTTCCCTCCTATGGTTCCTGTTTCTCAAACCCTCTTGGACACGAAGTCCTGAGAGTCTTCCACCAACCCTGTTCCCTTTCCTTTAAGCTGGAGTAACTAAGCCACTTTCCTGACCAACAACAAGGAGGCTTGGTCTGACCTACTGCTCCAGTGTTTCTGGCAAGAGAGTATAGCCTCTCCTCCTTGATCGTGTCCATTTCCCACCTTATGTAAATTGGAGGAAATCATAAACAGAGTGAGGACAGGACAAGTTCCCAGGCAACACCACCACTATGATATTGTGTCCCAAGGATGGGAGTGTGAACACACAGAGGGGAAACAGACCATGTCATCCTCTCTTCTGCCAAGCCTGGGTACTCACTTTCCTGCCAGCTATTAAGCTAGAAGAGTCACTGAAAGGTAGAAGGAAATTCAAAGGAGCAAAAAGTCTTGGGGAAGAAATCATAGTACATTAAGGGGTATGGAGGCGGGAAGGAGGAGAGGAGGAAATAAATATTGCTGCCAAGTTATCAGTTACTTCTTATGTTCTTAAGAATGCTTCATGCCTTTTGTTTGGCCAGTTTTTTACCTCTCAGATTCCCGTAAAGCACATGGTCCACCCTGTTACCTAACAAGGCCAGCGTCACTTAGCTGTTCTCGCCCTCTAATAGGAACACTGGCCTGGGATTAAAAAGCAAACCGACAAGCAAGTATAGTGGCCTGAGCCATCCCGAGAACTCTGGAGCCTGTAACTGGGAACCTTCCACACCCTCTTCAAGAGACTTACAGCAGCACCACAGTCACAATGAAAGTTCTAATCTCTTCCCTCCTTCTGTTGCTGCCACTAATGCTGATGTCCATGGTCTCTAGCAACCCAAATCCAGGTAAGTAAAATTAATTTTCTATAAAAGTAGGAAAGTGGGGGGAGAATGTGGCAAAACAGAAAAGAAAACATGGCCAAAAACATGCATTAAAATGTAATTCCTTTTAGCTACAGGGATTTGGGGCAAGTTAGCCTATTTCAATGCCTGTTTCCTCATTTATAAAAGGGAGAAAACTGGTACTTACATCCAAAGAGTGTTGTGGGAGTCAAGTGAGATAGTGTATATGAAAATGTCTGAAACTGTAGCTGGCAAAGAAATTTTTAAAAAATTGGCTCAACAAAGATCTGCTCCTGTAAGTCTCCCCTAATCCCTTTTCCGGAGAGTAATGATTTCCCCAAGGCCAATCTTGGCAGTGGTGTAAAGGTGTTGAGGGCAGTTGTACATGTGTAGAACATAAGGAAGTCCTTGCTTATATTCTTTATAGTGCACTAGACATCCCACCAACAATTAGAATGCTATTTAATGGCAAAGTAATAAACCAGAAAAATTATACCACATGGTAGTATTCATATTTGAAGCGTTAGCCGTACCAAGCCCTGTTTTGACAGCTCACCTTTTGGGAAGCAAACTCTTGGTTAGGGTTTTTGAATCAGCTCCAGTGATCTAGCCCTTAGCAGAACAACCATGCAGAAGGGAGTTCATCCTCATGTATGCTTCTACTTGAGAGAACCATCTCCCCAAGTGCTACTTTGAGGTGAAATAGCTTTGTTACATACTCAGCATGAACTTGGTCCTAAAATCAAGAGTCCGACTCCACCCCAATTTCAAACTTCTCCTCCCTTGTAGAGAGAGCTTTCTGGAGGCTACTGGGCCCCATAGCCTAACTCACCATTCTGGAAGAGAAGGCTTTTCCATCACTATGACAGACACCAAGGCTAAAGTCCTCAGCCTGGATTCAAAACTCTAGCCACAATCTGCCTTTCCAGTCCACCCCTTCCACTCACAAGTATTCTACGATCTACCTAAACTGTTGGGTGTTCCCTAAAAAGGTCTTGTGCTTTCCCATCAGCTCAACTTTACTCATACACCCAGCTCCAAAACCACCTCCTCTCCACAGCCTCCCTTGATTCCTCCCATGACCTGAAGTGAGCTCTACCACCTGTGAACATGCTTAGCCCTAAGTTGACTCTCTCTCTTTGCACTTATCATATTCTGCCTTACACTGAAAGTGCTGGTCTGCCTCAATTACTTCTACGTCCTGCCCTTCTAGACTGTAACCTCCTTGGTGACACAATCTGGTATATTGTTTCCATGTCCCTCACGCTATCCAGCACAGTGCTCAGTAAATATTTGCTAAGTGAAAGAATAAATCCCCAGGTGTCCTTGAACACTGTGCACCTAGGTTTGGTAGCAGCTCTATTAACATTTGGAACTGGATAATTCTTTGCTGTAGGGGGCTATTCTGTGCACTGTAAGATGTTTAACAGCATATCTGTGACCTCTACCCACTAGATGCCAGTAGCAGCCTCCCCCAACCCTTAGGATAACCAAAAATATCTCCAGACATTGCCAAATGGTCCCTAGAAGGGGAAATCACTCTCCAGTTGAGAACCACTGCTCTGTACAAATAGTTCTCAAACCTGCTCCACGTTTACACTTATCTATACCTTCAGCCTTGAAGCCAAGGGAATCTAGGTCCAAATCCTGGCTCTTCCACTTACTTTACAACCCTGGACAAGTTGCTTCACTCTTTTGAGCTTCAGTTTGATCATATTAAAATGAATAAAATACCAGTTAGCATAGAATTTGGGGGAAGATTAAATGAGCTATAATGTGTACCTCGTAAGAGATGAATAAATGGACTGAGTAAAATTTCTAAAGTAGCTCCTAAGGCTCAAGGGCAATGAATCGGGAAAGCTCACTGTGCTGCCAGGTGATGCTATTACAAACCACGTCAGATCAGCGGAGGCCAGGCTCAAGGCTTGTTTCCTAGCCAAGCATAGTACTGCCATGCCAGGCTAAGTCTGGCTAGAGGAAATGATGCCCCACCATCCCCCCCACAAAAATTCTCAAAATAAAATTTCTTACTTTATTTCTTAAAATAACCACACACATGCACAATATGCTTTTTATGAGGGGGTGTAAGGAGGGGGAGAAGATAAGTGAGACTAGAGAGGACATTAGGAAATAAACTACTTATAATAAGTTTACTCATTACTTACAATATTACTTATTAATTATAAAATTACTATAATATTAGCTGACATGTGTTAAGTACTCCTATGTGCCAGGTGCTGTTCTGAGCACTTCACACATATTATCTCATTGTGTTCTCACAAAAATCTAATGTATTTTTTTAAATTCTTAACTTTTCACTTTTCAGACTTTCAAAAATGTAAAAATAATCAGAGTTCCAATATATCCTTCATCTAGTTTTTTTCAAATAACACCTTACATAACCATAATATGATGACATAGTACTATTAACTAATGTATGAATATTCATACTTTTCTAATCACTCCATTAATGTCCTTTTCCTAGTCCAGAATCCACTCCAGGATCCTACGCTGAATAAAGTTATCATGTCCCCTTGGTCTCTTCCAATCTAGAGTGTTTTCTCAGCTTTCCTTGTCTTTCATGACCTTGACACTTTCGAAGACCACTAGTCAGGTATTTTGAAGAATACTAATTAGATATTTTGTAGAACTTCCCTCAATTTTGGTTTGTCTGATGTTTCTTCATGATTAAGTTCAGATTATGCATTTGGCAAGAACACCACAAAAGTGATGTGTGCCTTCTCAGTACACCACATCAGAAGCCCATGATATCAATATCCCTCATTGCTGGTGATGGTAACTTTGAACACTTGGTTAAGGGGGTTTCTACCAGGTTTCTCTACTGTCAAGTTACTATTTTTTCCATTGTAATTAATAAGTATCTTGTAAAGAGATACTTTGAGACTATGTAAATAGCTTGTTTCTATTCATCATACTTTTGCCCATTAATTTTAAAAATCCATCAATGATTCCTGCCTTCGACAAGTATTTCTATGGCATTAGTCAATGGTGATTTTTCTATTTCCATCATTCCTTCTACATTTATTAATTAGGATTCTACTATAAGGAAGAACTGTTCCTTCTTTCCCTTTTATTTATTGTTATTTATTAATATAAGTAAAGACTCATGAATATTTATGGATTATAATTTATTACTATCATTCTTTATTATGTTGTTCATATTGTCCCCAAACTGGCCATTGAGAGCTCCTGTAAGTTGGTTTCTATGTCTTTTTAACATACCATTTTTTAGCAGTTTTGACACCACAAGGTGCTTCAGGCTCTTCTTGTATTTACCTGCCCCAGGTCAGGAATCAGCCATTTCTCCAAGGAGCCCTGGTTTCTTTCATGGGAGAATGGTATTAGGTACTGCCCATTACTTCTAGGTACTATTGCTTCTAGGCTCTCTAGTAGACAGAGCTATACACACTAATGCACTATTAGTCCCATTCTATGAATTAGGTAAATGAGGCACAAAAAGTTAAGCAACTTGTCCAAAATCACAAAGCCAATATGTGGTGGAACTAAGAAATTAAAGTAATGATAGATTTACCATGATTCCTAACAAGTGGAATAATAATCTGCTCATACCTTAAGTTATAAAGATTTTATTGTGTGTGTTGCGGGTAAAGTCTTTTTTTTTCCCTTTTCTTTTTTTTTACTTTTTTTGTCCAATATGTTTTTATTGATTTCATAGAGAGGAAGGGAGAGGGAGAGAAGGAGAGATGGAGAGAGAGATAGAAACATCAATGATGAGGGAGAGTCATTGATCAGCTGCCTACTATACACCCCCTACCAGGGATCAAGCCAGCAACCCAGGAATCAAACCGGAATAGAACCATGATCTCCTGATTCATGGGTCGATGCTCAACCACTGATCCACACCAGCTGGGGGGGTGGTGATTAAGCCCCACCTCTGTCTTCTCTTCTATCCAGAAGCCATTCTTTCTCCACCTACCTCCAGCTAAGCTTTTCTCTAGGCCAGATTTACAATCTCAATTCCTTATCCATTTAAAATATTCTTCTTTTCAGTACTTGAGTTAAAATACTCCTAGATTCCTAAGTAAAAAGGAAGAGAAATGGTACTGAGCTAAACTAGGTAGCACAATGCTGGGAGACCATTTCTGTTGACCCCTTCTCTTTCCAGTGTCTGGAAGTGACCTGTTTCCTTCCAACAGGGGTCGCCAGAGGCCATAGGGACCAACGCCAGGCTCCTGGGAGGTGGCTTCAGGAAGGTGGCCAACAATGTGAGTGCAAAGGTTAGTAACTCAGTATCAACAACTGTGATACCCCAACTCTCTCCCTTTAGTCCCTGAGACCAGTGCAGAAGGTATCTGAGCTGACTCACCCATTCCCCTCTCCACCAGCCCACCACATGCAGCACTTGTTTTCTGGAGTCTCCTGAGAGGGCTAGAATCCTCCTAGGTCCAGGGTAGAACTGGATAAATCTTTGCCTGCCTCCTCCCCTTTATTTTCCCCTAAGAACCCAGGACTGCATTTCAAAAGCTTCCTGAACCTTATTCTCAACCTTATTTTACTCACCGGTAAGGCTGATATCAGACTGGCAAAATGGCTTGCCCTGGCTAAAGCAGCTACTAGAAGGCTGACACCAATATCTTATTCCTCATTTTTTAGTCTCCCTAATGATATCCTGCTGCCCTCTCCACACCTGCCACCAAATTCTTGCCAACACAGATCAGGAAAAAAGACTCAGAAATATATATATATATAACTGGATATCTCCACTCTTCTATGTTGAACCTTTTCCCCATCCCATTACAGTATGAAAAAGCAAAGAAGATGGCAAGTAAAGCCCTGCCCTACTCCCTACTCTCAAACCTGCTAACCCTCCCATCTAAGCAGCAACCCTGTTATTTCAGGTTGGTTCCTGAGAGCTCCTAAAAGAAAACTCATGGCAGTGCCCAGGCTGCCAAAGAAGCAGTGTCCCTGTGATCATTTCAAGGGCAACATGAAGAAAACCAGTAAGTTTCAAAAGAATGACTTAAACCACAGTCACTCAGTGGATCAACTAAGGATGAAGCAGGGGTTGAGAACAGACAATAGAGGTGAAATAGAGACCAGGACAAACATCTCAGTCCTTTCTACTCGTGTGGACTTGTGGGGAAACAGGAAGAAAGCAGGATACAATTCCAATACTAAAAAAGGTTTAACCAAAGTCTTAGATTTTAGAACTCTTATCAAAGTGAAGGGAGATGGGACTGTTGGGGACCTGGTCATTGATCTCTGAAAATGACATGTGTCAATGTCAAACAGAATGTGATTCCTCCCTAACCTAGCAGTTCTTAAATGTCATATAAAAGTAAACTGGCAGCCCTGGCCAGTGTGGCTCTGTGGTTAGAGTACTGGCCTGCACACCAAAGCATCGCCAGTTCAATTCCCCGTCAAGGGCACAAACTTGGGTTGCAGGTTTGATGGCCACCCCAGTAGGGGCACGTGCAGGAGACAACCTATTGATGTGTCTCTCTCACATCGATCTTTCTCTCTCTCTGTCTCTCCCCCTCCCTTCCACTCTCTCTAAAAAAATCAATGGAAAAAATATCCTCAAGTGAGGATTAACAAAAAAAAAGATGGAAGACTATATAGTAAACTATTGACAGTAGTTTGCTCTGGGGAATGGGGAGTAGAACTGGGGGGGTTGTCCTTTTACATTTTTTACTGGATATATTTTTTAAATTTAATTTTTTCCACTGGATGAGTCTTACTTTTATAATTGTAAAAGCTCTCATAAAAATTAAATTAAAAAAAATTTTAACACTAGTCTCTCCCCTTTATTTTCACCCTAGGGCACCGAAGGCACCACAGGAAGCCAAACAAGCACTCCAGAGCCTGCCAGCAATTTATCAAACGTTGTCAGCTAGCAAGCTTTGCTCTGCCTCTGTAGGAGCTCTGAGAGCCCACACTCCCAGCGAAACATTCTTAGTCAAGAGGGCAGTCAGCACATCTAAAGAATGTTCTTCTCTCCCACTTCAAGCTCCCTCTCCCTGTCCCCACTCCCTAAATCATCCCAGTGTTCTCAAAAAGAATATTTCCTAAGATTATTTTTATTATTGCTCCCTCTAGTGCTTTCTCTTGTCAGTCTTTTCCTGTGCCCTTTCGTTACCCAGGCTTAATTTAAGCTTAATTACCTGAAAGAAACCAGAAAACCCAAGCTCCCTAGCTGGTTCCATTTGACCTTAAGTAAAATTAGCCAAGTAGCAAACAGAAGTCAATAAATATTTTTAAATGTAATAAGTCAAAATCATTTATTTCAAATGGGGTCTGGCACCCAGATGGCATGGCTCAGTGGTTGAGCATCCACCTATGAAACAGGAGGTCACGGGTTTGATTCCCACTCAGGGCACATACCTGTGGCTGGGGCTCGATCCCCAGTAGAGGGCATGCAGAAGGAAGCCAATCAATGACTCTCTCATCATCGATGTCTCTCTCTCTCCCTTCTTCTCTCTGAAATAAAAACATTTTTTAAAATTATAAAACACACACACAAAACCCCCCACAAATGGGGTCTGGCAACTTGCATTCAATCCAGATAACCCGCTTTACCCTGTTCACTCCAAACTCAACCCAGATTCCACATCCACACACACTTCTTCCCACCACCTCTCTCTCTCTCTCTCTCTCTCTCTCTCCCTCTGCCCACCTCCTCCTGTTAAACTGTTCATTCTTTTACTCTTTCAACAAACCCTTCTGAGGTAAGAGCTAAGTGGGACAAAGAAAGCAGGTATAGCAATGAATCAGACATGGTCTTGTTAAAGATAATATAGGTTTAAAAAACTGGTCGTTTCCTAGCATGCAGAACATCTTTAGGATTTGTGGTTGTTATCATCATCATCATCATCAAGGGTCACTGAACTCTGTGAGCTTCCAAACTAGTACAGAAGACATATATACAGAACCATAGGCTCAGGGCTAGAGAGATGGTGTGGAAGATCTCAAATGCCATTGAAAAGGGCTTCAAGCTGTAGAAATGGGAGTGAAATTATAAAGCAATAATATAAGGAAATTAAACTGACAACCATTTGAAAGTATGAATAAAACAGAAAAGATTATTACTACAGTATAGAGACAGCCTCCCCCTCTGATGCTTTCCTCAAACATCAGAAGGGGAGGAAAAAGAGAAACACTCATCCAGAATCTAGCTTCTGTCATCCCAGAGAACTAAGATGGGATGCTGCCTTATGAGGAAAAAAAACACATTTTAACAGTGGTGAGTGGGGTGGGGCGGCCCTATTTATGACACAAGAGGGCAAGCCCCTCCCCTCTGGTAGAAGAGTGGTGGGCAAACAGCTTCCTCCTGTTTCTAATCCATCCTCCTACAGCTGGAGGCACAGGAGCAGGGGCCAGCAGTGGTCATCCCACTTGCCAACTGCCTTAAAAAGACCAGGAACACCAAGACAAAGGCGTGGAACCCAAAGATAGGTGCCATCATGAGGAATCAATGAGGCATCTGTGACAAAGGAGGCCTGCGTGGGGGGCCAGAAGCATGAAGCCTGTGAGATCAATATCTCCCATGAGGGAATTAACAACAGTGGAGCCAGGTTCTAAGTCAGTATCTAGACCTGACTGGGAACCCGAGCCACATCAGACATCTATCATTCAGCCAGAGCCTGGCCCAGAAAAGACACCCACAGCACAGCCAGCATCTGAGACTCAGCAGGAGCCTGCTTTCCAGCAAAGACCTCTCACTCAGCAAGAGTCCCTTACCCAACATGAAGCTGAATCTCAGCAGGAAACTAGAGCCCAACAAAAACCTGCTTTACAACAGGAACTCCTTGCCCCACAGGAGCCTGCACCACAGCAATCACCTCTTATCCAAAAGGTGCCCATCACTCAAGAGGGAGCTGCCTCACAACAGGGACCTGAGCCAGAAAAAGAATCTCGAACTCAGCAGGAGCCAGAAGTGGGAGAGGGACATGTAGCTCAGCCAGGACCTGGCCCAGTAGAGCCACCTCTAGCTCAACAAGAAGCTGGATCAACACCTCCGTCCCAAACTGAGTCCATGTCCCAAGAGAAACCAGGACAGTCAGACCCTATAGCCCAGCAAACAGCTCCAGACACATCCCAGCAGGAATCTTTGACCGAATGGGGATTTCTATCAAAACTTCACGAACTATCCATACAAGGACCAGCCTCAGAGTGGAAGACATTTCTTGAGTGGGTCACAGATTTTGACTCAGAATCAGATTCAGAGTATCCACTAGAGACCGATTCATCAACCATGAGTGGTGCGACAGTGGCCCAAGGGGTGACGCTGGACTTCAAGGGGAAACCTGGTTATGAAGTGATGTCAGGATGCGGTGGGAAATCAGCCCGAAGGAAGAAAACCAGCAACAAGAAGCACAGGCACTATTGGGACACAGGTAAGTTGAACCTGGAGAAACAGGAGTCTTCCAGGGATGGTTATTCAGTCAGTCAAGAAGCACTGAGAGCTGCCAGTTAAGTCAGGTCGCTCAGTTCCCTCAGCAAAACAAAGATCCACAATCGAGTTTGATAGATTAGGAAGCCAAGGCCTTGAGATGTAAAGTATCTGACTAGGAGGGGGGCAGTAGGGAGTGGCCAGTCCAGGATCCAAAGCCAACCTCTGACTTCTTCCCAGGCACCAGGCTGCCTTCCTTTGAAGGATTTGGGGTAAATCAAAGTGGAAAAAGGCTCTGAGCTAGGGGCCAGGACACCAAACAAGCCTGCCAGTATTCATCCACCCTCACCCTCCCCAAACCCACTGAAGCGCAATTCGGG